AATAATAATAGTAAACAATAAAGCAACAAATAACTCTATGGCCTATCAAATAGTTTCGGTCCATGACTGGTTGATGGAGGTCCATGTCTGTGGAACAAAATGGTTCATGCTTTGTTTGGGACGACTTTCTTATTATTTCTTAAAACATTTTTCAACTATAAAAAATAAAATTTGTGTACTAAAAAACTATTTGAAGAAATAGTAAGAAAGCTGTCTTAACAAAGCCTCAATCTGCACTATAGCTTGTTGATGAGTATAAATGGGTTAAGCCGAGCTCAAGTCACTTCGAAAATGAAGTTGAACTTAATTAATTAAATGAGCTCAAGCTTGAGCTTAATTAAGCTTAATTTTATAAGATTGAGCTAGCTCATTCTTATTCAAATTGTTATTAAAATAACGAGATAGAAAGAATAAAATATTAAATAAAAAATCATTAAAAATCACTTGAAATAAAAAAAGACTGATATAATTTATAAATATTTATAATAGAATAATAATATATTTTAAGTGTATTTTATATTAATATCTAAATGACTGAAAAGTTAAGCCCGGGCTGACTGAAGTTTAATTTTGTCTGTTAGTACAAGCCCATTAAGTTAAATGGGCCTTTATTGGCAGGCTTTGGGTCGGAACTAAAACGAACAGTATACAATACTAATTTTTAGTCCCAATATTTCGACCAAATAACAATAATGATTTATTATAAGGTTGTTTTTTTTTTTAAGGTAAGTGACTTCAAATTACTCTTTTAATTTTATAAGCCAATATAATATTCTGTTTATCATCCAATAACCTTTTTTTAATTCTATTATTAAAATTAACAAAAAATTTAAACCATTATATTTGAAATTCTTCTCTCATATTTGTGAAATTTGTTAAAAATCATACATAAATAAATGTAAAGAAACATAGGCCTTATTTCTTATTTTAAATTATATATATATATATACTCCTCAATATTACATTACAAATTCTTTTACCATAGTGTCCTAAGTTATTCCTTATTATTGCAATTATGATAAATGCCTATTTGAATTTTTTGGGATATTCCTGCTTGAAAGATTAGCTATAAAAGCATAAAACGGTGAATATAGATTCTTGTGAGAGGTATATTTACTGATCACATATTTTTTACTTGGTTTCATTGACATTGTATATTTATTATGAGCCATTGGTATATTAAATTCAGAATTCGTGTTACATTATTAATGATGATCGGAGCTTGATTCGAATGGGTGGCTTTGTTATGGAAGTCCTCCAATGCTTATTGAGTGTTCTTGTTCTCTACTATACAAAATGCCTTAAGAATTTTTAATATGGCTAAAGTTTTGAGCTTAAGGAAGTTCAAGAGAAATGGAAGCTAGATGTCAATGGGATGGATATAAAACTCATATTTATGAATGGTATTAGAATTCTAGTCCTAAATGTGAATTTTAGAAAAAAAAAATGGGCTAGTTTTCAAAAAATATTATATCCATTGAAGTGTAGAATTTTTATTCTATTTTTGAATAATAATATTACACGTGTGCTGGCTGAGAGAAAAACAAATAAAAATGCATTTTATAGCTTTAATTTATGCCAAGTATTTTATGAGGCAAAGTATGAATAAATGCGGAACATCTAAAATTTTTTATAGGAATGATGAAGATAAGTCTATTTGTAGGATAAATTTAGGGTTTAGGAATATAAATGCAGAACTCTGAACCCTAGACTTTTAGAAAATGCCAATTTTTTATTAATAATTCTATTTTGTTTAGAGTATATATATGTAAGAGCTTTTATATACAATTTTTATTGAATAAAGAATTCTCTAAGAATTTAATGAAAATATTATTTTCCATTATCAACCCTTTATAACTTTGATATACATCAAAAAATTATATTGATCAGGCACGAATCTTGAAGCAAAATCAAATTTGAAACTTCAAAAATTAAATTGATGATCATCTCAACTTCAATTTTAGCAAACTTATAGTTAAGCTAAACGTCTCAAAAATATGAACACAAAGACACCAAATTCGACTCAATCTGAGCCCAAATGAGTTAAAATCAAAGACCCAAAGCACATTTGGAAGGTTCAAACCATAATTTGGATTACAAAACGGTTTTTAAACATTACATGCTTATAATCAAACCGAGCTGCTTGAGGAGACGAATCCAACAAGCCCAATATTATAAAATTTTTTATATCATTAAGACATTCAAATGTCTAGTAAACCGTCCACGATCGAGGATTCAACATCGGCCGTTCATTCAAACCACTCCCAATTTACTATTGATTTTCATTCTAATTATTGGTCATGTTACTATCAGAAAACTATAAATAGACACCTCATTTCTCATGAGAGGTGGGGTGAGCAATGAGGAAGAAGGGGACCCAAGCAAAAGGAGGAGGAGAACGAAGAGAGCTCTCTTATCACCACACTCCTGCTCGACGATCTCCAAACTTTAGCCCGTACATCGATTAACGTTGGACTTTCGTCTGTCACCGAACCTTTACCAATCGTCGGACTTTCGTCGGATTTCTACCCAACGCCAGAGTTATGTCCATCGACAGACTTTTACCTGACGCCGAACTTCCGCCCGTCACTGGATTCCTATCCGACACTGAACTTCTGCTCGTTACCTCACTTCTGCCCATCACCAGACTTTTGTCCATCATCAGACTTTTGTTAGACTTATACCAGACGCCGACCTTCCGCCCCTCACCATACTTCAGCATGTCGCGGGACTTTCATCGAGCTTAATTCTACCCGACCCAAAACTTCTGCACATCTCCGGACTTTCATCGGACTTCTACCTGACATTATACTTCTGCTCGTCGTCAGACTTCTGCCCGTCGCCGGACTTTCATCATACTTCTACCCGACACTAAACTTCTGCCCATCACCGAATTTTCGTATGACTTCTACCTGACGTCAAACTTCCGCCCATCGTCAGACTTCAGCCCATCGTCGGACATTCATTGGACTTCTATCCGATGCCAAACTTTTACCCATCGTCGGACTTTCACCTGTCACGTCGGACTTCTGCCCAACGTCAGACTTTCGTCAGTCAACAGACCTTCCATCCTCCATCGCCCAATAACTACGGTCCTTTTTACCTCTATCACCTGATAACGGTACTTCTGACCTCCGTCGCCCACCAACTACTGTCCTTCCGACCTCTATTGCCAGACAATGTTATTTTCGCCCTTCATCGCCCACCGATTATGGTCCTTTCAACCAAACAAATATGTCAACAATGATTCTTTCTATTTCCACCACGGAACAAACTCTGTATGATGTATATTTGTTACATCAAGCCAAGACCTTCCCTTCAATGAAGGGCCTCATTTGTAATCAACTGCAAATATTAGTGGATTCAATCAAACTGGACTAGGCCCTGCAGTTTTTCCCCTATTGTTGACAAACATGCAAAACAAACATATTTTTTAAAAATAAGAAGAAAAAAAATTAAAAACGGAAAGGTCTTCACAATATTCAACCATAAAACTCTCAACAGTTTCCATTCGCAGAAATTACAACCACCAAAACCACCATTAATATCGGAGAAACAAATCACAAACTTCAAATGCCACTACATCAATGTCCAAACATATAAAAAAAATACATACAAAATTTTTTTGTATTATATTATAAGAATCGCCTTCCCTTTTCTTTCACAAAAAAAGCCAATAATTTCAGAAATAAGTAAATAAATATTATCTCACGCTTCTCCTTCTTCCGCTTCTCCTCCTCTCAATCTTCCTCCATTGCCGCAATGCCGGATGAAGAAAGCTTCGGAATCAGCGACTACAAAGGAAACAAATTAATCAACAGATTGGTTTGCTTCAACGCGACGTTGACAACGTCGTCGGGGCTATGGCTCGGCGACCGGCCGCTGGAGTTCGCCTTCCCCATCCTTCTTCTACAGCTAATCGTAATATTTCTCGCCGCTCGGCTCAGCCACGCCGTCCTCAGCCGCATCGGCCTCCCGCAACCTCTCTCGCACGTCATAGTAAGTACGTACGTTCAACTTTTTTTAATTTATTGATTATTATAATTGTTATATATTTATGTTTGAGTAATGAATAATTATTTTGAATTTATTATTTGAATTGCGGTGCAATAAATTTTATTATTTTTCTTTGTAAAATCACGTGATTTTATTTTCAATGATTTTATATTTTTATTTAGATTTATTTGGAATAGCTTTTGACTATTATTTTTTTTGTTGTTTTCAAATGAAATCTTAATTGATAACTCTATTATTTAACTGATTTTAAAATAAATATAATAATTTTGAGAGTAATTTTAGCCAAATTTTTATCAGAATGGCCTAATTTTGTTCTCATCAATAGCTTTGTAATTTGTATAATATATTGATTTTTTTTTTGTAAATGAAATATACATATAAGATAAAAATATAAGATATATAATATTAGTGTTTTTCTTTCAATATTTTCCTATTCTATAACATAATATATAATATTATTAATTTTAGAATATAAATTACTTAGTTTGGAACATTTTAAAAAAATTACTACTGAAGATTTTGACAATTTATCCTAAAAAATAAAATAATTCAAGATATCCTAACTAAAGCCAATTTTACAAACAAAAATAATAAATTTATTGAATATGAATTATATCCAAAAAATTTGCTCATGCAATGCTTTTGTTTTTTTAATAAATCCTTCAAATCGCATCCTAAAAGCTTTTAGAATTTAATACTTTCAAAATTTGTTTAATCAAACTTTACTTCATTCATAAAATCCTACTTAACAAATAACCCATAAATTATTTGTTAAAAATATTTAAGTCAAAATTTCAAAAATAGCCTTAAGTTCTTGGGGGAATTTACATACATAACATTCAAAATTATTTAATTTATATATTTCACATCTAAACTTTATTATTTACCCCAACTTTAACTAATATCATTAGATACTGTGAAATCTCAAACCTGATGAGAACCTGTAAAATAAACTATAAAGCATAAAAGCATAGGAGTAAAAAGGAAGAAGAGTTCAGAGAGATATACCTTGAATCATTCTCATAGTATATTTCCAGCATGATACAAAAGTGCTTGTTCAGCCTATAAATAGATGGAGGAGGAATTATCATTCCGTTGGAGAGAAGTTTCTAGAGAGGTAGTGGAGCCGTGAGTTGTCAGGCTGCTGGCAGAGGGTTTAGTGTGTCCATGTACTCGATGTGCTAACATGCCCCCTCAAATTAACAATCCTAAGATAAGATGGTTAGTTTGTTTCGCTTTTCCTGGAAGCAGTTCGCTGCGAGAGAGATTTGGTGAGGATGTTTGCAGGCTGATCTACAGAGTTGATGTGGAGTACTGCAATTTCCTTGTTCTTAATGTGATGGCTTATAAAGTGGTAGTCTATCTTGATATGTTTGGTTCAGGCATGAAAGACTGGATTATTTGGTAGAGCCATTGCTAAAATGTTATCGTAGAATAAGTAGGAAGGTTGGGATTGTGGAGCTTGGAATTCAGCTAGTAGGCGGTGAAGCCATAAGGTGTTTGAGGTTGTTGCGGCTAATGCCCAGTATTCGGCCTCCGTGGAGGACTTGGTGACAGTTACTTGCTTCTTAACGCACCATGATACTAGATTTGTACCGAGAAAAGAACAAAAGTCGGCGATTGATTTTCGATCTGTGTGGTCTGATGCCCAGTCGACATCGATGTATGTATACAATATCAAGTCAATATATATGATGGGAAGACCATAGTTCAATGTGTCTTGTATGTACAGAAGGAGGCTTTTTAAAGCTTAAAAGTGAGTGATTGAAGGAGTATGCATGTGTTGACATATTTGGTTTGTTGCGAAGGCAATATCTGGTCTAGTGATTGTTAGATATTGTAGGGAGCCGGCTAATTTCCTGTAAAGAGTTTGGTTGTCTAGTGGTTGATCGATGAGGCTAGTTTTGTTTGGTTTGAGGGTTGTGGGTGTTGGAGTTGGTTTGCAAGTGGAAAACCCGCTTGCTTTGAGTATTTTGGTGACATATTGTGACTGATCCAGAAAATAACCCTTCGAGGTTTTGGAGATTCTAGTGTCAAGAAGAGAGATACATGTCCTAAATCTTTAAAGGAGAGATCGGACTGTAGGTTGTGTAAGGAGAAGTTGGATAGAGTTGTGATCGGTGCTAGTGATGAGCATGTCATCAACATATATAAGTATGTACATTTGGACGGTGCCTTTTCGATATAGTAGAAGGGAGGGATTCGACTTGCTGAACTGAAAACTGGCTACTTGTAAGTGAGATGTGAGCTTGTTGTACCACTAACGCGGTGATTTCTTTAGGATGTACATGACTTTGTGTAGCTTACAGACGCCGTTTGGGAGTTGTTTGTTAACAAAGTCCGTTGGTTGTCTCATGTAGACATCTTCCTCTTGATCACCATGAAGGAAAGCATTGGAGACGTCGGGTTGAGTGACTGACCAGTTCCTTTGGAGGCCGATGGTAAGAAGGATGCGGATGGTGGGTAGCTTGGCTATTGGACTGAATATTTCTTTATAGTCTATACCATATTGTTGATCGAAGCCTTCAAAGATGATGCGAGCTTTGTACCTCTTGATTTCACTATTTAATTGTAGTTTGGTTTTGTTTGTCCATTTGTAGCCTAGTATAGAGTGATGGGATGGCATATATACGAGTGACCACGCCCTACCTATGAAGGGCCTGAATCTCATCGATCATGGTAGCACGCAAGGATGGATTTTTGTTTGCATGGGTGAAAGTAGGTGTGGAGGTATCACTAGTTGTGGCAAGGAGATCGAAGATTGGGTTGGATTTGACTATGCTTGATTTGAGTCTAGTTTGCATGGGGTGGATTGGTGGAGGTGGCAGGATTGTGATTAGGTTGGTGGGAGTTGTTAATGGTGCAATTGGGATGCTGGTGTTAGGATGATCAGTGATGGGGTGGGGGGGGGATTCTTAGCAGTGAGATTGGTTCTGGACGTGAGAACTGAGAGGTAGTGGATGGGAGGTTGTGATTGGTTGGGATGGTGGAGATGGGAAGTAGTGTGAGAGGTGTTGTGTTGGTGTATGGTGACAGTGGAGTGGATTTGGAGGTGGGGGGATTGTTTTGAAAGGGAAAAATATGCTCATTAAATACAATGTGTCGTGAAACATGCATGTATTTTATTTGTCATTTTGTTGAAGCGCCTACAACCTTTATGGGTGGGAGTATATCCTATGAATATGCATTCATGTGAGCATGGTGCTAGCTTGTTTGGTGCGTGATGCCTAAGCCATGGGAAGCATAGGCAACCGAAACTCCTAAGGTGGTGATATGTGTGTGGTGAGCAGCATAGTAGTTGGAAGGGAATTTGTAGATTACGAGCTTTAGTGGGTAACCTATTGATCAGGTAGTTTGTGGTGAGTAAGGCATTTTCCTAGAAGGGATTGGGGAGATTTACTGCAAGTAATAGAGTGTGAGCCGTGTCTAGGAGATGTCGGTGTTTTCGTTCAGCTATAACATTTTGCTCAGGTGTGTATGAGTATCTGAGTTGGTGAATGATGCCAAGGTTGGAGAGAAAGGATTTGAAGTTCGTGCCTGTGTATTCTCCTCCTTCGTCAGAGCTAAGTATTTTGATTTTTGTATTAAATTGGTTATGAATCATATTAGAGAATTTTTGGAATTTGGATAATGTTTCGTCTTTAGAGTTCATCAAATATAACCAACAAAATCATGAGTGGTCATCTATGAATGTAATGTAGTATTTGTAACCGTTAAGAGAAGCGACAGGAGCTGGTCCCCAAACATCTGTATGGATTAATTGTAGGGGAGCAGTTACATAATTTGAAGTAGTAGGAAAAGATAGTTTATGGCTCCTGGCCAAGTTACAAAATTTGCAAACTATAGCGTAGAGGAGATACATATAAGAGGATCTAATTTTGATAGAGTATGCATGATGAGTTGATGTGGATGACCAAGACGAGCATGGCAGGATATGTCTGAGGATGATTTATAGCTGAGAGCATAGGTGTGTGTAGACAATTTGACTAATAACATGTTGAGGTTGTCATGACTCCTACCACGCAGAAGGATTTGGTTGTTCTGTAGATTCTTTATTTGGAAGCCAGAGGAATCAAATGAAATGGAACAATTGCTATCAGATGTTAGATTATATATGGAAAGGAGGATGTACGAGAGCAAATCGTGAAGGAGATTGTGTAAAAATAACTTATGATTGGATTGTGGGAGGGGTAGGATGCAATCACCGCTATTTTGAATAGGTAGAGTGCTGCCATTTGTGATAGAGATCGAGTTCGAACCTTGGAAGGGAAGTGATTGTTGTAAATTTTTAGCATTTGATGTAAGGTGAGTTGAAGCTCTAAAATCTAACACCCATTCGGTTGGAGAGGAGAGCAACAGGTGTGTAAGCATTGCACGAGGTGGTGGGGAGTGTAGTTAAGGTTGCATCTGTGCAAGCAGGCGGTGGCTATATGATCGAATTTGTTGCAGATTTGACATGTAGGCCTGGAGGTTGTGGCGGGTTGTTCTTGAACCTGCGGAACCTGGGTTTCGATTGGTAAATCCTCATCCCTGATTAGAGCGAGAGGTTTGAAAGGGATTGCCTCTGCCGCAGATGGGGCGAGTGTTGGAGTAGAAAGCTACATTGTCCTTTGAGATTGATGTGTCTTTGAGTATTTAAGTTTGAATGTTAATCTCCTCGCTGCAAAGTAGCAAGTAGAGAACCTCCAGACTGATAGGAGTATGGAAGATGCGGATGGATGTTTTGAAGGAGTTGTATGCCACAGGGAGACTATTTAGGATGTAGTGGATGATGTCTTTGGTTTCAACTTTAGATCTAGCTGCCGCAATATTGTCGACAATGCCTTTAACTTGCACGAGGTAGTGTTTCATTGAGCTATCCCCCGTGGTAATGTTATGTAGTTCATTTTTGAGTTGAATGACTCGTGAACAATTAGTAGGTTGAAGCCGGCTCTCTAGGGTTCTCCATATGTCCTTGGTTGTGGACAGGTTCAGTATATATGGTAAGGTGGTAGGAAAACTGGTGGAGAAAAGTGCTAAAATGAGATTTTGGTTGATGAGATTTTATAGACGGTGGTCTGCATATGTCATGTTGGAGGGTGGAAGTTGGGCGCCGGTAAGATATCTTTCGAACCTGTTAGCGGAGAAGAGTTTAAGGGTTTGTAGCCTCTAGATGGCGTAGTTCTCATTGTTGAGTTGAATGGTGACTATATGCTTGATGTTGGAGATGAGAAACTTGATTGGGGAGGGGACGGTGAACTCGACCATGGAAGCGAATAGTGATGAAACGGGTTGGGATGCCGACTGGGAGCTAGAAGCCTGGTTTTCAGACATTCTATCTAGATGAGAGAATTGTTAAGCTTTAAGGCTCTGATACCATGTGAAATCTTGATCCTGATGAGAACCTGTAAAAGAAAATATAAAGCATAAAAGCATATGAGTAAAAAGGAAGAAGAGCCCAGAGAGATATCCCTTAAATCATTCTCATAGTATATTTCCAGCAGCATACAAAAGAGCTTGTTCAGCCTATATATAAAAGGAGAAAAATTATCATTCCGTTTGAGAGAAGTTTCTAGAGAGGTAGTGGAACCGTGAGTTGTTAGGCTGCTGGCAGATGGTGTAGTGCGTCCACGTACTCCATGTGCTAACAGATATAAGCCTTAGCTTGAAAACAAGTGCATCGATTGGGCTGAGATAGAGGTGTAAGTGAGTCAAGTTGACTCATGAACCGACTCGAGTTTGGCTAGATAATGGCTCATGAGCTGAGCTCAATGAGCTAACGAGCCAAGTTTGAGCTAATTCAAACTCAGACTCATAAGCTTGTGAGCTAGCTTGTTTAAAAAAAATATTAATTCAAAATATAAATAAAATATATTAGAATTGAAAATTTTAAATGCAAAGTTGCTAAAAATTTTAAAATTATATATCAAATTCTTATATTAAATAACTCTTTATTATTTTTCTTATAATTTCACAATCTTTTTACTATTTTATTATAATAATTGCAAAATTCATAATAAATTTTTTTCACTTTAAGAATAATTGAGCCGACTCAAGCTTAAGTGGGAGGTCTTAAGTTCAAGTCAACTTGTTTACCCTCCTAGGCTGAGATGAGCTCACAGATAGGCAGTGTTGGGCTCGCAATCAAGGGCATCGACATCTTTGACGATGATGTCGATGCGACAGACAACTTGTTGCTAGGATTATAAATTTTTAGAGAGGGTATTAATTAATTTTGATGTTATGAATGTCATTTATAAACAATAAAATATAGATGTGAAATCTATAAATTAGATAATTTTGTGTGTTATGAATGAAAAAGCGCCTAAATATTTTTTGGTAATAATTTATAGTTAATTAATTAATCATAAATTCTGTTCACTCAGGCTTCGTTTGGGACGGCTTTTTTATTGCTTTTTAAAATAGAGTTTTAGTACAATTTTTTTTTTATTTTTGTACTAAAACTCCGTTTTAGAAAGCAATAAAAAAGCCGTCCCAAACGAAGACTCAATAACTAACAAGTACTCGATCACTCTAAGCAGGCGGGACTGCTCCTCGGCCCCTCCGGCCTCTCCCACAGCCGGAAGCTTCAACGAACCCTCTTCCCCAAAGAAAGCTGGGTTCATCTCGACCACATTTCCCTCCTCGCCTTCATCCTCTTCATCTTCATCGTCGCCGTGAAGATCGATCTTGGCCAAATCCGAAAATCCGGCCGCAAATCCGTCGCAATCGCCCAAATCGGCACCGCCCTACCGTTCATCACCATATTCATCGCCGTCCTTTTCCACCCCACCATCCAAATGAACGAAATCGTCCGTAACTACATCATCCACTTCGCCGGTCGATGGGCTCTCACCTCCAACATCGTTATTTCCTCTCTCCTCGCCGAGTTCAACCTCCTCACTACAAAACTCGGCCGACTCGCGATGTCCTCGTCCCTCCTCTCCGATTTCTACTGCGTAATCATCAGCGCGACTTTTTTGTTTGTGACGACGATGGTTTATCAGTCGGTGGCTTTGGGGCTGACTTTCCTCTTTTCTTGCTGCGGGTTTGTTGCGGCGATTTGGTTGTTTGCGAGGCCGGTGGCGCTTTGGATTATACGGCGAACGCCGGAGGGCTCGCCGATGGATGAGGCGCTGTTTTTGGTTATTTTACTTATGGCGATCGGCTCCAGCATTGCAGGTACGGTAAAATTAGAGTTTATTTTTATTTTTAATTTATTTTATAAATTGAATTACTATATTCAATTATCATATTGTGGTGAATTCTAAAGGGTTTAAATTTATATTAAAATTAATACAATTTAGGAGAATATATATATATATATTATTAGTTGCATTACAATTTAGAAATAAAATTGAAATATTATGATATAGATTTAGTAAAATAATTTTTTAAATTTAAATTTTATTTTAAGATTAATGATTTTTTGAAAAAAAAAATTATTTTACACTAATCTCAAACAAGCAATTTAATAATTTTAAGATCGATGATTTTTAATAGAAAATTTTGATACAACTTTATTCTTAAACATTAAACTTTTGATAAATGATAGAATCTCATTGAAGGAAAAAAGAATGATTTTGCATTATAGAAATTTTAAGTGTTTTTAAATATTTTAAATAGGATTAAAAAATTTAGATAATAATATTTGACCCAATTCGTATTAGGATCATATTAAAAATTTTCCATTACATTTAATTTGTTGATAATATAAAATCATTTTAATATTTTGCCACTTTTATAATATATTTATAATAAATACTTAATTTGTTTTAAAGTTTCTACAAATTAAAATAACATAATTTTATGACATTTAAATATATATTAATTAAATGTTCCATACTAATTTTTAAATACTTTTGATTAAAATTCAGTAAAAATATTCTGATCTAATTTTTTTCCTTAAAATATAACTATAAAAATAAACTTTAGTCACATATCATTAAAAATTATATATAAAAGCTAAATTATAATCATATTTTATTTTAAAACATACAATAAAATAACATTCTTAATTATGAGGGGTGTCAAAAAAAGGTTAATTATTATGTGCGGTTACCAAATGACATCCAAAGATAAATGAGAGCGTGCCCGTCACTTTTTTTACCGTAGATTATTGTTGTGTGCCGAGTGACGTGTTGTGCTCTCATTCGTCTCGGGACGGTCTGGCGCCCGCACAAAATAATTTCTCGTCAAAATGTGTTGATGGGTCAAGTTTCGATCATATCAAATTCAGTCAACTTGAACTCAATCAATTTGATAAAGGAGTCAAAAGCCCCATACCGAATCCAACTCGTTAATACATTTTAAATAATTTTTTACAAAATTTATTAACAATCAAAATTTACATATTTAATAAAAAAAATAAGAGCATTATACAGTCATGACACAAGTAAAAGAAACTTAGACAAGAAAATATTAAACAAGTCATTTTTTAGTCAAAAATAAATTCACGAGTCAATCTAACCTAACTGATTTATTAAACGAGTCAATTCGAACTTGAATTTTTACAATCAAGTTTTAATGAGATTGAAGAGTTGATCATTTAAATGGGATTGAAGAGTTGATTAGGGATGTCAATTTTTAACACGACCTGAAACACGACCCGAACCCGACCCGGAAAATTCTGGGTTCGGGTCAACCCGAACCCGAAACGGGTCGAGTTCGGATTGAATAAATCAAACCGTTTTAAAAATCGGGTCGGGTTCTGGTTGACCCAGCAACCCGAAATTGACCCGAAAGTAACACGAAAACTCATATTTGACCCGAAAACCCGAGATTGACCCGAAAATCTAATATTGACCCGAAAACTAGCAATGTCAACTTCGGATCAGTCGTGTCGGGTTGACCCAGACCCGAATCGGGTCGGATTCGGGTCCAGAAACCTGACCCGTTTTTAAAAATGTGTCAGGTTCGGGTTGACCCGAACAGTGCTGGGTCAGTTTCAAATTCGACCCGAACCCGACCCGCTGACCCGAATTGACACCCCTAGAGTTGATCATTTATTGATACACCTAATAAAAAACTATTTATAATTTTTTCGTATTTTAAAACATAAAAAAAAAAAATAAAATATATTTTTAAACGTTTTTAGCTATTTGCAGGGGAGCTTATAGGGCAGAGCGTGACATTTGGGCCGCTATTGCTGGGTGTAATCATTCCGGGAGGCCCGCCACTGGGGACGGCGGTGGTGGACCGGCTGGAGCGGCTGGTCTCAACGCTGTTCTTGCCGGCATTTCTGGTCATAGCTGGGCTGAGAAGTAACTTGTATGAAGTGGTGAGCGGAGCGATGTGGCTCCCAATGACCTACCTTATCGTTATCAGCGTGGTGGCTAAGTTCATCGGAGTTATTGCCTCCTGCCTCTACTGTAAGATGAGCTTTCGCGACGGATTTGTGCTGGCGCTTATTCTCAATTCGCGAGGGATTATTGAGATCAATACGTTCAATAGTCTCGAAGACTTCAATGTAAGTGGCTTCAATCTCTCTTTTTCATTAGAATTTTATGATCCGACCTGCCATTTCGATCTAAATTTGACCTGAAAATGGTTTGGATTACAAATTTTGACCCATTTATAATTGAATTTGGGTTGATCAGTCAATCCGATTTTAATCTGAAAGTGATATATTTATATTTTTGCCTTAAATATTTTATTTGTTGGTATCATCTTTTTATTTTTATGAATTAAATTAAAATATATAATTAATGTTAAAACATATATATTTTTAAAATTAAAATAAATTATCGGGTCGGGTCTCGGGTTGTTAGGGGGCGAGTTTGGTTGATCGAATTCAGGTTAGGTTAATTTTAGGTTAGACCCAGACCCTATAGAAATCTGCACTAAGGTGAAGAGTGAGCAGAGAAGGATCAAGAAAAATAGTAAGGACTGAACATAGAGGCAAAGCTTAAGTGTATTTCATTAATTTGTATCGGTACAATAAGTGGTATATATAATAGAAGCAACATTGTAGTAAAGTTCCTGAGTTAGTTAGATAGCAAGAGAATAAACAGAACTGTTGCAGGTAGTGGCTGAGTTGGCGGAACTGTTGCAAGTAGTGGCTGAGTTGGCGGAACTGCTACAAATAGTGGCTGGGGTGGCGGTATGAGTAATGATTTCCTGTAGTGGTAGATCATCTGAATTGCTTATGCTTTCACCGCCCGTCAAGTTGAGGGTTGGATAAACCGTCAACTTGGATCAGAATTCAGAGAACCGTGGTGTAGGAAGGAACTTTGTGAAAATGTCATCAATTTGATCTTGAGAGCAAACATGATGAACAACCACAGAGTTGGAGTTAATGCAGTCACGTATAAAATGATGATCAATATCAATGTCTTTGGTTCGGGCATGAAAGACGGGATTTGTAGCAATTGACATGGCAGAAATATTATCAAAATATAGTGGGGTAGTATCCAAGGGAATAGAAAAATCCTCGTATATACGACGAAGCCATATTAATTCAGTAGTTGTGGCTACTAAGGAACGGTATTCAGCTTCAGTGGAGGATCGAGCAATGGTTGACTGCTTTTTAACACACCAAGAGAGGAGGTTCAGTCCAAGGAAAATACATAATCCGATTGTAGATTTGCGGTCCAAGGTGTCGCCAGTCCAATCAGCATTAGCATAGGCAATAAGATGTAAATCTATTTTTTGAAGAAGGAGACCATATGTGGCAGTGCCCTTGAGGCAAAGAAGAATTCGTTTAAGGGATAGAAAATGGTGATCCATTTGATTGTGCGTATGCTGACAAATCTTATTGACAACAACGACAATGTCCGGACGAGTTGTAGTTAAGTACTAAAGGGACTTGTAAGTTAGGGGAAAAGAGCTGGATTATGGAATGCAACTGGAAGATTGATTGGCTGAGGGGATTTGGCAGGCAAAGGATTTGTTAATGGCTTACAATAAGCCATTCCGGTTGTATTGAGCAGGTCTATGATATAAGATTGTTGAGACAGACATAGCCCATTAGGAGATGAGTGGATGTCGATGCCTAGAAAGCGGGATATAATGCACATGTTACGAATATTAAAGTGTGAATTGAGTTGATGACGTACTGTGGAAATTGATGATTGATCATTGCCTGTTATTAAGATATCATCAACACATATAAGTTTGTAAATTCTAATATTATGATGATTAAACAACATAAAAGAGGTGTTGGGAGAGCTGTGATGAAGCCTTGTTGCTGGTGGTAGGATGATAGTGTAGCAAATCATTATTGGGGAGCTTGTTTTAGACCATAGAGGGCCTTGTGGAGCAAGCAAACATGATCTGGATGTTGAGGGTCTTTGAATCCTTGTGGTTAAGTCATAAACATTGTCTCATGTAGTTTGCCAAGAAGAAAAGAATTTACAACATCTAACTAAATAATGGGCCAGTTGAAGTGCAATTGTAATAAACAAACATATTGTGGGAGACTTTGCAACTGGGCTGAAGGTTTCCAAGTAATCGATACCATATTCTTGTTTGTAGCCTAGTGCAACTAGTCTTGCTTTGTAACGGGCAATGGAGCCATCTGAGTGATAATTAATTTTGAAGATCCATTTATTGCATATGACATGTTGATTTGGGATAGGAGACACAAGAGTCCATGTGCCTTGGGACTGCAATGCATGAAATTCATGTGATAGTGCCTTTCTCCATTGAGAGTGTTTGATGGTTGAGGAGAAGCATGTTGGAGTTTCAGAAATGGTGTGAGAAAAATTGAGTATTTGACGAGGTTTGAGATTTGCCAGTTTGCTATCGGGTGAGCGAGGGGGGGGGGGTGGGGGGGTGAGGAGGGAATTGAATATGTAGGTGTGGTGTTAGAGGAGTAAGAAGTGGGTAGAGTAGAATGCGAGGAGGAGTTGTGTGCGGGTAGGCTGTTGGAAGGATGAGGAGTGGAATTGGAAGGGCTATTGGAAGAATTAGTTGAGATGGATGAATGTATGGAGGGAGGAGTGTTTGATGTTGTGGTGTTTATAGCAGCAAGTGTAGGAAAGGGTGGTAAGGTGTATGGTGGAAGAGGAGTAGATAGACTAGACATGGGAGAAGATGTAGGAAATGGGTTGGTGGTGAATTCATCAAAGACAACATCTCTAGAGATGAAAGTTTGGCCCCTAGCGGAACTATAGAAACAATAACCTTTTTTGTGAAGCAGGATATCCAAGAAAAATACAGGGAGCAGAGCGAGCAACAAGTTTGTAGTCTAAGTAGGGGCGAAGCCAAGGATAGCAACGACAACCAAAGACACAAAGAGGAGTTTAGTTTGGCGATTTATTATGAAGTAGTTGATATGGGGATAAATTTGATGTAGTGGGAGGAGGTAAATGATTAAGTGGGCTGCAGTGATAGCATCTTTAACCCATAAATTTGGGGAAATATGTGCTTCAATGAGAAGAGCACGAATAGTGTCGAGGAGGTGGCGATGTTTACGTCCAGCTATGCCATTTTGCTACGGTGTGTATGGACAATTGAATTTATGGTTTATACCATGGGTTTTAAGAAAAAAATTTAGAGCAGTGTTCATGAATTTGCCTTCGCCGTCAGTTCACAGGATGAGGATAGAAAAGTTAAATTTTTTTCTAAAAATTTTTTGAAGTTGATTATGTTCATTATTGTTTTTTATTTTAGTTTCATTGAATTACAAAAATGAAACTCTTTTTTTTGAAAATAAAGCCAAATTTAATGAGAAAAATCATCAATAAGAATTAAATAAAATATGAAACCATCGTTAGAAATAAAATGTGAGTGACCCCATACATTAGCATGAATTAGATTTAGAGGTATAGAAGAAAAACTATTTGATTTATTAAAAGGTAAACGGTGGCTATTTTCTAAAGTACACGAGATACATTTAGTATTAGGAGATGACTAGGGAATACATAAAGTGGGATTTTTTTTTTTTTTTTTTTGCTATGGCTGTAAGAGTGGCTTAGCTTGGTTGACCCAACCGTTCGTCCCAGAGGGAAGACGAGGTAGCGGGAAGAGCTAGTAGAGAAACTAAAATAGTTATCGGATGAAGAGTTACTAAACAGAGGCCATCACAACAGGGACTTTAAAGAAGTGTGCGGAGGTTTGTCCGATCCTTAATTGTGTAACCATTGTGATCAAAAGTAACAATGCAATTATTGTCAATAGTTAACTGGGAAATAGAAAGAAGTTGGTGAGAGAGATGAGGAACATGAATAATAGGTTTGAGAGAGAGACTAAGTGACGGAGTGGGCAAAAGACCATTCCTAGAATGGAGAATATGTAATGAACAGCCATTGCCGACTAGTACTTGGTCTGAGCCATTATATGTAAAAGGTTGATATACAAATTGCAAATCTGGAGTGAGATGAGCTGTGGCGCCACTGTCTAGGTACTAGGGTGAGGAATTGTCTGTTGGAACAGCTATAGTTATGTTGGCAAGGAGAGCATTCTATGTAAATGGGGTTGGGGGAAGATAGCTCAGATCTGTTTGAGGCCAACAGTTGAATGTTGAATGCCCATGTTTACCACATATTTAGCATTTAATAAGCGGTCTGTTGTCTATAGGCCCAGCAGACAAAGAGTGCCCAGGAGATCGTCCGCTTCCACTAGTATAGGGGAACCATCCACGACCGTGATGATGAACGGAGGCAAGAATAAGGTGAGAATCGGCTGAAAGATGATGTTCTGTTAAGGTCAATTCCTTGGTTGGTTCAGTGGCTAAGTTAACCTCTTCACTGCATAAGAGGGAGTACAGATCTTTAAGGTTTATTGGTGTGAGTTTTGTCCGAATAGAAGTCTTGAAGGATTGGTACTTTGATGATAAACCATTCAGGATGTAGATAATGATATATTCCATGTCAACAGACTCACTGGCGGCAACAAAATGTTGTCTACAAGACGTTTTATAGTGGACAGATAATCAGTCATGGATTGATTCTTTATGGTGACGGTGTGAAGCTCATTTTTGAGTTGGATTACGCGAGATTAATTTGTGGACCCGAGTCGGCATTCAAGCGTCACCCAAATCAAATGCCAGGTCTCTATATTGAGGATATACTTTAGAATGGATTGAGAGATTATGGAATACAATGCTACGGCTAAGTTTTGATAAATGAGAATCCATATGGTGTGCTGCGGATTAGGTGATTTTTGACTGTTATCGGACTGGAGATGGGGAGCTGGGCATGGTTTTGAGCCGTCAAGGAAACAGTCGAAGCCATTTGCAGTGAAAATTTTGAGAATCTGAGATCACCACAAGGGATAGTTGTCGGCGAGTAGCTGTATGTGTACAATGTTCTTGATGTTTGATACCAAAAATTTCAACTAAGAAGGAATGGACAGATCGTTGAGCTTTAGAACAAAGGATACGGAGTGGGCAAAAGACCATTCCTAGAATGGAGAATATGTAATGAACAGCCATTGCCGACTAGTACTTGGTCTGAGCCATTATATGTAAAAGGTTGATATACAAATTGCAAATCTGGAGTGAGATGAGCTGTGGCGCCACTGTTTAGGTACTAGGGTGAGGAATTGTCTGTTGGAGCAGCTATAGTTATGTTGGCAAGGAGAGCATTCTAATAAGTGATATATATATATAGAAGCAACATGGTAGTAAAGTTCCTGACTTAGTTAGATAGCATGAGAATAAACAGAACTGCTGCATGTAGTAGTGGCTAAGTTGGCGGTATGGTGGTTGTTGCGGGTAGCGGCTAAGTTGGCGGAATTGTTGCAAATAGTGGTTGAGTTGGCGGAACTGAAACAAGTAGTGCTAGGTTGGCAGTATGAGTAATGATTTCCTATGATGGTAGATCATCTGAATTTCTTATGCTTTCAAACCCAACTTATTGAACCATTTTGACACTGGTCAAAAATATATGCTTGACATTTAAATTATTAACCTTATTTTATGATAGTGTGGATGTTGCGATGTAATCTGGTTGGGGAAGGGCATTTGGGATTGGCAGAGATGCAATCCATTGATCGAGAGATTATTCTGTGCGGTGTCCGAACGTGTCTGGAGGCCAATCCGGATGCACCACGTCATCCAATGTACTATGCATTGAGTGATGTGGTGCGTCTTGATTAGCCCTCTGTTGTATCCGGACGCTGCATGTAATAAATTTTCTGATCGATGATGAAGAACAAGATGAGAGGAAGGCATAACTCATTCAATTATTATAAAATATATTTACAACGACTGAAAATAAAAAAATTAGGATAAAATATATATTTTTTGAAGAGAGTAACTAATAAAATTTACATTTTAAATATGTAAGTTCAAATAATTTTGAGTGTAAAGTATGTAAAATCTTCTTAATTTTAAGATGAATAAATTACCTGAACTAGGCTTTATTGCAAATGCGGCGTTTTCTTTTTCATCTTCTTTCCAATTAGAAAACTGATGTTTTACTCACATAAAAAAATACAATTTTGATCAGCTACTTTCCGCCGAACTGTACGCCGTCAACATCGTCGGAATCGTCGCCGTGGGAGGAATCTCTGCCATGTTCCTCAAAGCTTTCTACTGCCCATCCAGCCTTATGCCTGCAAACCGCCGAAGAACCGTCCAAGCCTGTGCCGGCGTGGTGGAACTCCGCGTTCTCACCTGCGTTCACGGCGAAGACCACGTCCCTCCTCTCCTCACTCTCACCGACGCTCTCTCCCCCACCTCTTCCTCCCCCCTCTGCATCTATCTCCTCCATCTCAGCCCTCTTGTCGGCCGCAGCAACACCATTCTCGCTCCTTACAAGAAGAAACAGCGTAGCAGGAGCTCCTTCCGTTCAGTTTCGGGCGTCTCCTCTTCCTTGGCGGCAGCCGCCGCCGCCGCCTCCAACTCCGCCGCCAAAGCACCCACTCTCTCCGACCGCATCGTTAACTCCTTCGTCTCGCTCGAGCGGCAATATCCCACAGGTCTCTTCACCATCCAACCCTTCATCGGAGTCTCGCCTTACGCCACCATGCACGACGACATCTGCTCCCTCGCCGCCGATAAGATGGTAAGCATTATTTTTATTTTATAGTTATATTTAAAAAAATGAGTTTTAAGTTTTAACTGAGAAAAAAAATTAAAAAATACAAGTGAATCACGATGGTATCAATCTAATTGAATTTCTTTGAGATTAGTGCGAATAATTTATATTTAATTAATTTCAAAATAAATTCAATAATATCTAAGCTACTTTGATATGATTTTTATTCATATTAAAATGGGCTTGAACCTTCATTTTATAACTATCTTTAATAGATTTTTTATTTACACAAATATTAACAAAACACTTTTGGAAAATTAAAATAAAAATAAAATATGAGAGAAAATGATTGGATCCCAAATTAAAATTGGCTAAACGCTTGCTTTTAAGTCATACAATATAATTAAATAGTTAGATAGATATTCAAAACTCAAAATTTCCGCAGTGCGATCTGATCCTCCTCCCCTTCCACCGCCGAATCGACGCCGACGTCCCCTTAGAATCCGTCAACCCCGCCGTCCGCTCATTCAACACAAACGTCCTTCTCTACGCCCCGTGCTCCGTCGCCATCCTCATCAACTGCGGCCTCTCCGCCCCACCAATCTCCGCCCTCTCCTCCCCTCACGCCCACCGCGTCGCCCTCTTCTTCCTGGGCGGGCCCGACGACCGCGAAGCCCTCGCCATCGCCGCCCGCATGGCCGAGAACCCCTGCATCGACCTCTTCATACTAAGACTGCTTCTGCCTTCTGAGAAAAGGGAAACGGAAGGTAAGGAAGAGGAGATGGACGACGAGGCAATTCAAGAGTTCAGATTGAGAACCGGTGAGGTGGAGACTGTGGAGTATAGGGAGGAGGAGGTGAAGGAAGGGGCGGAGACGGTGAGGTTGATGAGAGAAATGAGTGAGAGGTGTGGGTTGCTGATAGTGGGGAGAGCGGAAGGGAGAGTGACGCCGTTCACGGCCGGATTGGAGATGTGGAGTGAGTATCCAGAGCTCGGAGTGATTGGGGATATATTGGCGTCGAAGGATTTTGGGGGGAATGCGTCGGTGATGGTGGTTCAGCAGAGTTCGAAGGTGGAGGATGGTGGAGGGGCGATGAGGAGGATGGCGAGTAGGCAGAGCTCGAAAACAGAGTGTGTGACAAAAACAGAGAGTGTGGAGATTTAAGGGGAGGGTGGGAGGAGAAGATGGTTTGAATGGATTGATATTTATTATTATTATTACTATTATTATTATTATTATTTTCTTTTGAAGAGATTTATGATAAAATATTTTGTTTTGGAGAAATTATAAAAAAAGGTTTAATTTAAATTTTAAATTTAAAAAATCACAAACAGAAAAGTTGTCTTAGGTTTCGTTTGGGATGTCTTTTTTATTTCTTAAAACAGTTTTATAAGAAAATTTTGAATAAAAAAAAATATTTTGAAAAGTAGGAAAAAAAAAATGTCCCAAAGAAGCCATTTAATTTTTTTTATTTTTTAGGCAGTCATTGCTACCCGTTGGAAGAGAATTAGGGGCAATTTAAATCCCCATTTCTACTAACTTTTTACCAATTCTACCTCAAATTCTCATTGCCACGTTGCTTTTCTAAATTTTAGTGGATTTTAATATTTTATATGTATTCATGGAGCTATTTGGAATAGGGGGTCAAAATTGAGTCACGGGTTCAGATTCAAATTCAATTCAGAACTGACCAAACACTATTCGACCTGACCAGAACCCGATCCATTTTTGGAACAATCTTCGTGCTCGAAGATGAAAGTATGTTTTTAACGGCCGCGTTAGCAAGTTTTCTTTTTTTTTTTTTTGGCGATGAAATTTGATTAGTATTTTTTTTTTTATAAATATTTGTTTGAATCGCTTGTATTATTGTTGATTTATGCATGATGAATGGATCATTAAGTAATGTTTATTGTGGCTCATCAATCGGACATGTCCGACCACCGACATACTTAGACACAAGTTCGTCTAAAATTATCAACTCACCCTCTTATCTTAGCATCAAATAAACTATATTACTGGTCATTTCAATATAACTTTTTATTAAAAATTACAAATAAAGGGCTATATTAAAAATACTTTTTTTTTTGCTTCTTTTTATTAAAAATCACTCTTCCTAAAATTCTCTATATTAATTGACTAAATAGCCAATATAAAATTGGTGTATATAATGGTCTTAATTTACCCAATTTTTCTCCCTTTCAAATTATATGCTTTAATTTTAAGTATTACTAACATTGTTCACCAAAACTTCATTAACTTTTTTTTTTTTTGAATGGGGTATCCACCAGTTGGCACTCTCAAAAGGGCACTAGGCGGCGTAACTAATCCTTGGCTGATCTAGAAGAGGCACCCACCACAAAAACCTCATAGCTTGCACTTGATTGGGCCCTACTTAAGAGGCGCTGCAGCTCGAGAGGAATCGAGCATGAATTAGGAGGTTCCTAATCGTACTCGTCCATCAACAAAGCTAAACAATGACGAGTTTCATTAATTTTACTACTCACACATTTCTATTACAATACTAACACTAAAATTTTGAAGTAATAATATTAATACAACCAAATCATAGATCATGAAACTCTTAATCTTGATAAATCAAAGCCAATATATTTGCAATGACATCTAAGCTAAAGTTTCAAATTTTAGACTTATAAATTAAGATTACCAATAAAGAATTCTAAACACTCAATAAAACAAGAAAATACTCATTAAAACAATCATTAAAAGATCCATTTTTACCAAACAATAAACAAATAGTAACTACGATACGAATAACGAAGAAAAACAAATATCCGATCATTCCCTAATTATGTTATCATCCTAATTACCTGAAGCTAAGAACTAAACGGAAGGCTTACTAATAAAGTAACGGTAAGCCGCAACTTTCCGTCGCCGAGAACCAGTGTTATCGACGGATAACACCACCTTGCCGGCTTCTCTCGACGTGAACAAGCCATGGACTGGCGCCTCCGCCGCCGGCGAAATCCGCCGTGCTTTCTCCACCGTGACTTTGAAGCTTCCCTTCGCGCTCGGCACGAACTCCGCCGAGTAATACACTTCCCAGCCGACCACCACTATGTCCCACGTTATCGTCGCTCCCGCCTTTACAGTAAAACTTCATCTTATTAGCCGCATTTCGTCGAATAGCTTGCACGCGGTTGTGTATTGTATAGAAAGGGAAGAGCGGAAAGGAATCTTACCTCGATGCGGTCGATTTCTAGGTTAACCTTCTCTCCTCCTTTAATGGTGAATTCGGTTGCTGGCTTGGGTGGACCGTTCTTGAGATCGCCCGGCCTGCTAAACCCTCCGTATTGAACTGGCAGGAGCTCCGGCCGGATAAACCTGCAAAAAGATCAAAATGCGAATCTGTTCTATTCATTTCTCTGCGGCAACAAGCTTCTTCAGATATAGCGGTAGCGATTTCGTGAAAAAAAAAAGCTCAGGTGGAGATCACAGGGGAAATGAGAGGGAAAGAGGTATTCAATTTTACCTGTAGAGAGTTTCGGCTACATTGCCGTTCCTGACGATGACGAATTTGCTCTTGGTTCTCTCCGTCAGAAATGGGCTGATCATAGAGTAAATCATGCTGAAGTACCATGGGACGTTTATAAACACCTGCATCGTCCATCAATCCGCAATGTTTTCGGGCGAGATCAGTACCTGCGGTAAATGTCCAAAACATGTAAAGAGGGCAAAAATCTAACCTTGATGGCGACCATTTCAGGGTAGTTGTTCTGAAACAGGGGAAGGATCTGGTTCGACAGCTCGCGGAGCTCGCGCCTGGGAAAATCTTTCATATCGGTGACCTGAATGATGGAGTTGATGCCGCCGGGCTTAAGCTGGAGAAGCCGCACGCCGCGCTCCATGACTTGAACCCGCCAACGGAGGAAGCGCTTTAGCTTCTCGCCGTCGCCGAAAACGCGATCATACTTCGCTCTGTCTTTGAAGACACCATAGCCATTGTAGCAAACAGGATGCCCTGCACGGTCCCATCCGTGCATGTAAGCCACAACTCCTTCAAGCTCCTCGAAGCCCAGCTTCTCCTCCACCACCCCATCAGCGGCAAACTCCGCCCTCCATTCTAAGCACCGCAGCAGCATCGCGTGTGCCAGCGACGCACTGAAATCCCTCGCGCGCAAGAACTTTTGAAGCACCACATCTGCGCGTTCATCCCCGCCTACAAGAGGGATCCCCCACATCGTAGCCGATGGAAAGGAAGACGAAAGCCGTTTTTTGAGATCTATGAGGGCTTTAAGCTCTCCTGTCTTAAGATGGCTAATGAGATAAGAATCCTCTTTGAAGGAAGATGAGCGGCCAAGGGTCGTGCTCGCCGCCTCCATCAGAGAGCCGATCAAGCTCTTCTTCGTCGGCCGCGATTTCTCCATATTGCTCGATGAAATTTCTCAGTTAGGAGGTTGGAGGTAACCGGTAAGATTACGAGTTTAACGAGGCATTGGAGTTAAATAGCTTTTTATCTATATAATAATTATTAATTATTTCAGCCACGTTTTAAGTCGTGGTCCGGCACCGGTTTAGCTTTTATAGTAATCGCGGAACAGCTTATAACGGTAAAGGTTCGTGCTCTGAAGCTGTTCCGGTGTACCGCAGACCACGAATGCTTTTGGCGGGAGCCGCCAGCAGCCAACCGGGCCAGCGGTTCAAATTTCGAACCCGCCGGCGGCGGCAGGGAGGGAGAACCGAAGGACACGTCTGGAAGTCGCGGTAGCCGAGGTGGGTCCCACCGACCAGTTATGTCGTTATTCCGTTATGTCGTTATGGATTGAAGAACCGGTTTAAAAACCGGCCCTATAGATCAAATAAAATTGAATTAAGTTTTATTAAAAATTCTTTAAGAACCAAATAAATCTGAATTTTTTTTTTTGAGAAAATAATAAATCTGAATTTTAAAAATTTAGACATAAATTGTCATCTATAAGTGATGATTTTAACACCTCTAATATTTGATAAGAACTTACTATAAAATAAGTTTCTCTTTTTTTATAATATATGAGTCAACTACTTATGAGCTAACTTGTATTTATATAATTGAGCTCAAACATGGATAACTAGTCAAACTCAAGCCCATATCAGGGCTCTTTGAGCTTGATTGGATTTTTTACACCTCTAGTTGTCTACCACAATTCATTGCTTACTATCATTTTTTAAAGATTATCTGAACATAATGTACATGGTCTCCTTACATTCCTCCCACTTAATAGTTAGCATCAACTAATGCTAATTGCTACTTGACGCTCATCATCATTTAATGCATGTCATTTACAAATGTTTCATTACCCTACATCAATTATCACATGATGTTTATCACAACTTAATGTTTTTCATCACCTTTTGTTACCCTATTAATCACATTTTCTTAATATTTAAAGTCGTCATGAATTAAGCTAAGTTCCACAAACTACGCATATATAGACGGCTATTGGTAAGAATTTTAATATATTTTAATAATTTCTTTGGTCATACATGCTATTCTAAATATGTTGAAGAAATATATGCTTTTTAGAGAACCCATTGTTTTTGAGTTGCACAGACACACTTACAATTGCCATGAGGACCAGCATTAGGTGGATGAGCGAGTGAGGAGGGCACATATAAGTAAATCATATTACAATGCTTAAAAAATATTATAAATGAATATTATATGATAATTAATATTATGTTATGCTTTATAGGTTGAGTATACATGTCTGTGAGAGAGACAGGCTGCAGCTGGCAAGGGATCCTCTAGGAGTTCCACAGATATTTCTGATTATCGTACTTGGCCATAGACAGTATGAGAAATGAAGAAGGGACAAGTGTATGAATTAGGCTTATATGTATATGCATATGAGGGATAATCCTCTACTGCCTCCATCTACTCTACATATAACTAGGATAGTCAAGTTAACCAACAAGTGGTTAACTTGTCAATAGAATTAGAAAATGTTTGAAAAGCTCAAGTTGTCACGCCCCAAGATCTAACTTGGAAGAATTATTCAGTCAATCCTTTAAATCAATCTTCTACTAGAGCTATCTATAGATATCAATCAGTGACAAACAGTCTAACAAAAATCTACAATTCAAAACATCATGTACACATTTTTATTCATTCTCAAAAGTTATTTATAATACTCAAGATCTACACATTAATCACATAATCTATCATGTCCTGAGTACAAAAAGAATCACTATAACAAAAGGACAAAAAACCTGAAGATTTTTGATCAACCTCAATCTCATGTTCCTTTACTCTGACCTGAAAATATTAACCACATATAATGAGCTCAAATAGCCCAGCAGGTCACCAAATACTTACAACTGAAATCAAAGCATGGTACGGAAGCAATATGCATGTCAATCAGTCAAATCATAGCAGTCAGTTACACATGATCATTGAATCAATGCAGATACGGAAATTAGTATAGAAACAGTATCGATGCAGATAACGAAAATCAATGTATGATCAGTAATCAGTACAGTAACGATAGTCAATGCGTAAACAGTATCAATAAGAACGGTAAAATCCTCAATCGACAGTAGAAGAATCAGTAAACAGTTTAAAGGTCCGTAAAGCTCAATCAATCAGTGCTTGCGTCAAATCTCTATAGAAATTATCAAATCTATATCATTAAAGAAATCCTCATATCATTAATATCGATCAAATCAGTCAATAAATCATAATAACATTTAAAATAGTTAAAATCAATCAATGTCGTAGAATCGTCAATTGCAATTCAGTTATCCAATATCACGTGCTCAGTGCATCACATGAAATCCAATAATATATATCACGTGTGCAGTAAATCACATGTCACTTACTCAGTATATCACGTGCATAATGTAAGTATAATAAATCAGTAACATCAGTGCCAGTATCAGTAATAGTCCAGTGACATGAACAGTAAGGCTATAACAATGAAATCATGCATTAACAGTAAATCCGTACAGTAACGATAAATTCGTATAGTAGCAATAAATCCATACAGTAACGATAAATCCGTACAATAACAATAAATCCGTACAGTAACAATAAATCCGTCAATAGCAGTAACAATACTGCTAAACATGCAATTCAGTACAATAATCAAACAGAGCAAGTAGAAGTACTGACTATTAAAGTGTTTTTCAGTCTTGTATAAATATTTTGTATCTTGTATCTTGTATCCATTGGCTCAGTAAAAAGAGTCGTCACTCTTTGCCCGTCGGCACAGTATTCATCTACTTATGACTCCCTTCTATAATCACGTGATCAGTAGAGGATAACACCAAACCATTATTTAAAGGAAAGCCCGTCGGCCCACCATCCTGTACAGGTATCATGTCTCAAACCAACGGTTCAACCAATTTTTTTTACTTATCTTTCACATACACATTAGTATCACAATAATATAACAGTGCTTTCAATCATATAATCACATTCATCAGCATCTCATCAATACATTGCAACAGTAAAACATGACTTAGCTCAACCTAGAAAATCACTTAAATATCATATAGTAGACATAAGTTGTAAAATGCACAGTTCCAAAAAATTTCCAAATTACTAGAAATCGTGTAAAATAATGTTTCAAAACTTTACTTGTACTAAAGTAATAATTTTCAACAGCCAGATTATTTTCTATTCGATTCAAACTGCACATAACTTAAAATATCCGGTGAAAACTTTTCAGAAAATACTCAAAATATGCAAAATCACCATCTCAAAAACATATCAAAAGTTATGCGGTAAAAGTTTCGTCCACACAAAGTCATGCGCGTTTTTCTATAACGAAAACACAAAATTGAGCAGAAAAATACCGAAACTCGAAATCTTCAAAATTAGAAATAGGATTCGAATTCCTTACTGCGAGACGAACAAATCTTCTAATAGTGGCGACGGACGAAAAGCGCTCCACGGCCTCCAAAAACAAGCTCTTCCTCCCTTTTCCTTCTCTTTCTCTCTCCTGCCTTCTCTTTCTCTCTCTTCAAATGATTCAAAATATCTCAATCCAATATATATCCATTCAGACCATCCCGGACGATTCGAATTCGTCCCGGGATGATTTTCCCTTTGGACGAATTTCGTACGTACGTGTACAGTTTTCGTCCCTGGACGACTTGCTCTCTGGACGAATTTCGTACATACATGTACAGTTTTCATCCATGGACGACTTGCTCTCTGGACGAATTTCATCCCGACGGATCGTCCCGACCCTTACAAGTTCGTACAGACGATCCATACAGATTCTTCACAATTTTCTTCTGTTCGTCCCGTACTAAAGTCAGTTCGTCCGAACTAACTGCACTAAAAAAAATCAGCTTCGAGGGGGGGGGGGGGGGGGGGGGGGGGTTTACACAAGTGGACATGCATGAACGCTCAGGTATTGGATGATAATAGGAGATTGAGAGAGCATATTGGCATAAATCAACCTGCACCTACTACATCACGAGAGCATGAGAGCTAGGATAATACGAGGGAGGAAATTAAAGCACCTATAAAAATTATGTTAATCATATTTTAATTAGCCTCTTTTTTAGCCCTATATAAGCATGACCACCTGTAAAAGATATGTTAATATCTAGTTCATTTTTAACCTAAGAAAATCTAGTGCCCATCACATATCATATCATAAATATCATGGTGAAAATATCACATCATAAACATCACAATTCACATCAAAACCATAGCTATCAACATGCATAGAAATCCACATCAAATACATGTTAGAAAGAAAAGTATTTGTAACAAGATAATGACCTACCCTAAAACTAAAGTTGGTTGTCCTAACAAGTCTTATACATTGTGTGTATTAAGGCTGTGTGATTTGGACGTGTATTGTTTAAATTTTTTTAAGTTCATTATTGTTTGAAGTTTTCTAATATTTTACTTTGGTTTGTTGTAGGTTAAGGGGAGTGTAGATTAAGTTCAAATCTTAATATTTTAATATCCATTTTAAAAAATTAAGTGTTGAAGTTGATTAATCATTAGTTCTTTGAAGTCCTTAGTTGTAATTAGGTATTTTTGTGCTTAAGTCTTAAAATCTAATACGCTTATTATTTCCAAATGGAGTCTAATATAAGGTATAAAGGCTTCCACTTATTAGTTTATTATTAATTATTTAAGCTGAATAATTACTGTATTTATTTACACTAGGGCCGCAAGATTTATTTCACCATCTTTAGGACTAACTTAATAGCCTTGTAGACCCTGGTTACCCATTAATTATCTTTGGCTTAGATTTGATTTTGTTTGTTTATTAGATTATCATGTTTGGTTTGTTAGATAAATTTATGGATTACTTATTTTGATTAAATGAATTTTTTTTTTACATCAGTACTGTGAGGTTTATTTCACCATTTTTGGGGCTAACTTATTAGCCTCATAGGCCTAGGTTACCTAGTAATTACCCTTTGGTGTAATTGTATTAACATTTTGATCA